AGCAAAGGTTTAAAATAAACCATTAGGATTAATTCTCATTTCTTAAAATAACTTCAATTGATTACTAATACGTAGAGGCCGGCTAGATATATAAGTCAATGTTTTAAAATGTGGAAAGTGATATCACCTCCGAGAATCTAGATGTGAGACACCCTTACGGGGTAAGGAAAAAAGCTTCAAATTTTTATGAAACAAAAAAACTATCTGACAATATTCAAATGGCGCTCTTAAAGTCTAATTTTGTACCCACATAAGTGGATTCTTAAAAGATATCCTTATGTCCTGCAAAATTGTTCTCATTTCCCTTTTTAAAAGTCTTGTATGACTAACATAGGGGTGGGCATAACGGTTCGGTTTGACCGAACGAACCGTACAAAACCGAATTAAACCAAACTAAAACTGAACCATTTGTAATTTGCTTTGAGTTTGGTAGAATTCCTCCCAACCCGTATTAAACCGAACCAAATCGAACCGAAATCATAAAATCGAATAAAACCGAATAAAACCGAACTAATCTAAAAATGAAATAATTTATTATTTTTTTAAAATCACAAATCAAAACCAACTTACACCAAACTAAACCAAACTAAAATATAAGATTTCTCTCATTAATTTGATTTATGTTAATCTTTTTGAAGCTTTAATTCTCTAATTTTAGTGTCGAGGATTAGAGTTTACTACAAGACTTACATTCGCAACTATAACAATTATAGTGGTTTAAGTAGACATTATTTAACTATAATTTATTATCTACTACTACTATATATTTGGTTCATTACTTACAAGCACCAGTTTTGTTTTTATTTCGGCTTTATATATAATTTGATTCATTCCCGTTGTTGTTGCTGCTTACAAATGTGTCATGCTTATATATTTTTGATTCATGTGTGTTTTGTTACTGTTTGCAAATTTATATCTAACATTATATTTGGTTCATTACTATCGCTTATTGGTTCATTATTTTGAGTTATTTTTTTTTATTTCAATCCAAACCTTAATACTTTGGTAAACCGAACTCCAAACCGAACCGAACCGTACCAAACCGTAACATAATCGGTTTGTGTTTGGTACATTTTCTATCAAACCGATTAAACCAAAACCGGACCGAAACCGAAGAAAACCGAACCGAAAACTGAAAATGCCCGCCCCTAGACTAACATTCATTTACTTTTTTCTTACTCAACCACAACCATATGTTTCAACTTTACTCCCACTTTCTTAAACTCTGATCCAAGTCAAACCGGGAACTATTTTGCGGGACGGAGAGTATATCTTTTCTTTCATTCATTGTAACGATAATATGTGAATGCTTTTAATATGGAAACGTTTTTTTAATATGTGACAAATAATAGAAATAAATGGATTCAAAATACAACAAAGTCTTGTTATACACACTACTGTTTACAGACCTCTACACACTGCCTGTGAATGCTTTTTTGTCTGTCATACACAAAACGTGTTTATGAAAAAACGTGTTTTGTCTGTGACATGCAAAAAAAACTTTCACAGATTGTATGTAAAAGTGTGTAAACAGTAAAAGTGTATACTAAAGGCTTTTTTGTTCAAAATACTACCAATGTAGAGAGTGTGTACAGAGTAGGACGTATGTTACCCCTTTGTTTTATCTTTTTATATTGCTTTATAAAATCTCATTCTCTAGTCTCTACTTTAATTTAAGTTTAACAGGTTTACACCAACAACCATCGGATTTTTAGTGATGTCTAAGCTACGGGAATTCAACTACTACACATAGTCGTCATTGATTAAGAAAAGATTTTATTTAACTCAATAAGATTGAATCTCCTGTCATTCCTACATAGCTTTGTGGTGAATTGAGCAATCAGCCGTTAACCGATTGTCAGGTTTGAATAACAAAATTGAGTACAAGGATAAGGTGGCTCACATTTGTAGGCAAATCCTCAAGATAAATTAAAATGGCTTTCTTAATCCAAGATTTTCAAATTTATATAATTCTAACTAATTTAGCATATATAATAATTCATTAAACCATTGGGCACAAATTGAACGTAGTGTGTACGCCGCTAGTCATATATATATAATTCATATATATATAGCCATTCTCCCGTCCATCAGTCTTCCGTTCGAACGCCGTCCGAACACCACCGTTTGTTGAATTTTTTTGAGCATGTTCCTCATCAATCTAGTTTATCCATACCGAATTTCAGCTTAAAATTCGATCGGGAAGACAGTCAAATAATTTGTTGAAGTTAACTGCGCAAAATTGTACATAGAAAAACGCAGTCAACTTTAAAAAATGATTTGAATGCCTTCCCGAACGAATTTTGATGAGCTTAAAGTTTTTGTGGATAAATTAGATGAAAAGGAAAACAAGAATTTGAGTTAGTTGTAATTGAGAGAATGTGACATGTAATTGAGGAGAGAATAAAAAGTAGTAAAAATTAGAGGCGTGAAAGATGGAGTAAAGTCAGTAAAGGAGAACAAGTGAAAATGCATATGGTGGAGATTGAGAAAAGCTCAAGTGGCTTGGGACAGACTGTATCCCATTGAATTGATATACACTCCACTCCTTAGATCACATGGCCTTTGCGTATTCATAAATCAAAGGATTGAAAACAAGTGATATACATTTTCTCGTCATATATTCTTCTTCTTTGTATGGGCATCAAAGTTCTCAATAAAATACCAATGGAAGCAATCATTCCCATTGCAAAAATGCTTAATTACCTCGCCCCATCCCCATTCACTATTCAAAATTGCTTTCAAAATTTGACATCATTGACCAAGAAAAGTCAATTGGACAAACCTTTTTGAGATGGAGGTAGTATGTGTGTCAAACAACGGTATAAGCACAAATGTGGCGTTTATGCAAGAGGCTAGGTAATCGATTGACAAAAGTAAATTGAAAATCCTAGCCCATTTTAATAACCTTCGTATTAATTTTCATATTTTTCTTTATTTTAAATTTGAGATTTGTATATTTTCTTTACTTCAAGTAGATGATGATGATAATAAGAATATAGTCTGCTTATTTTAGGGTAATTTCTTTTACTTTTTGTTGTGTTCAACATGTCAACGACAAGTGCATTTTACCAGGTTGGAAGGAAAAATTATACAAAAAAAGGTTGGACTGAAAAATGTTTTAGACTTTGTGATATATTCTAAAAGATGAATTTTATAGAAGGAAGATATTGAAATTTTAGAAGGCTAATATAGAGTAATGCTTTCATTTATAAATTTTTTTGATTTGATCTGGTCTGGTCTGATTTGGGTGATGTCCATCTAATCTAATTTCATTAGAGATTAAAATAAGTCTAATTAAAAACATTTTTACTCCATAAATGTTTTGTTTTTTAGGATGTTTTTACTTGGACTGTAATTTGCTGGTCTGGTCTAGTCTGATCTGTTCTGGTCTGTATTAGTCTGGTCTGGTCTGATTTCTTTGTATTTTTATAACTATCCAAGTCTGGTCTGGTCTGACCTGGTCTGATCTGAACTGGTCTGACCTGGTCTGATCTGAACTGGTCTGGTCTGGTCTGATCTGATCTGATCTGAACTAATCTGGTCTGATCTGGTCTGATTTGGTGTGGGACAAATTATAGTCCAAATAAAAACATCCTCATTTAGTGTGCGAGACAAACCTTGGGGATCTGTTCCCAACATCCGTCCGGCCATCCGAAACATGTGGCTTTTTCATAAAAGCTCACATTATACTATACGGATCGACTCTAACACCATAGTAACTCCATGTATAAAATGTCAACTTCTATACTAAAAAAGTGCCAGATATTATGTGAGTGTAGGTTTCTTATATGTTTATGTTATTCTATTTCTAATAACGGTCCAGATTAGACTGATCAAACTGATAAACTCTATATGTGTATGCAAAATGTAACTTGTTGAGGCAAACTCAAATGTAACTCGCGTATAGAAAGATGTAACTCACGTATAAGAAGATGTAAATCGTGCATAAAAAGATGTAACTCCATATAATATCAAATGTAATGATAGAAACTGTCTATAAACATAACTCACACATACGAAAAATGCATTATTCTCATGTTTTTTCAAATTTAAATCGAAATAAACAACCTTAATGACTATAAAACACAAAAAACATATAAAGAGATAAGAAATATATTATAGAAAAAGTATATGAATATAAAAAATATTTTACAAAAAAAGTGTATAATAAATATAAAAAAAGTATACAAAGTAAGATATAGTGTATGATAATGAAATACAATATACTTATTTTATGTGGATTATTAAAATTTTGTATTAAATTGGTAAAGAAAAAAATTAATTCAGTTTTAATTGAATTAGTTCAAGATAAAGATAAGTAAATAATCACAAATAATTAGATATAACACACACATAATTACATGTAACTTGCGCATAAAAGTATGTAACTCGTGTATAAGAAGATGTAACTCACGCATGTAACTCATCAATTACGTAGTCAAATTGCTATGGAATTTGTGTCGTAGCGAATTCCATCGCAAAGTAGCTACAAATTTTGTTTTGTCGTTAAATTCCGTAGCAAATCTGAAATTTTCTTGTAGTGTTAATTTGATGGAAATGGAGAAGAATTAAAGAAAAGAAAAATAAGGAAAGAATAACAAAAGAAAAAGGAAGGAAGAAGCTCGAGGGAAGAAAAGAAAGGAACGTAACTTTGTAAAAGTAGGATCGGCACACCATGCGGAAGGTGGACCGATCCCACGGTATAATTTGCCGTATCTAACGGATGTGATTCAAGAAAAAGAAGGAGAGTGACACATTTAGAGTCCATTTGATGACTCTGTTTTTCGGTTTATCAGACTTATCAACAAACTTTTTAACGAAAGACGTAATTTTTGATTCCGCGCGCTGAATTGTGAAATAATAAGAAAATGTAAGGTTGAAGATACTTTTCTGGCTGTATTGGTTGTAGTTACGATAAATGGTCATTTTAACTATTTTTTATATAACTTTTCTTTATTTCATTAATTTAATATATATTTAAAATTAATTTTTTAATCAGACAATACAGCCACTTCTGTTAGAACTTCATAAATTTCAACAGAGTCACAAGATTCGACCGATTTCAGTTTTACCAAACGGGCTCTTAAGCTCCCAAAACACTAAAAAACAGGATGGCCTTGGTATGTACACTTCCTAATCCCAAAGGTATAAGTTAGTGCCCAAATGCAAGTTGCTAATCAGCACTAGCAGGAAGTCAATTTTACATAATCCCACAATTTTCTGTAAACACTTTTCTCCTCCATTACGTAAGGCCAATAAGCAATTCTTTTCCGTACTCGAGTAGCTTCATTGCATAGAGTCCCAGCTAGGAAGGTTGGCAGTAGCTTCATTTATCATCTTCATGAGAGTCACCTACACATATTGTTATATTAATATATTGAAATGTTATTTTTATCAAGTAAACTTTTAAGTTTGAATCCCAAGTCTTAACACATACTTAATATATTGAAATGTTATTTTCATCTATCCTCTGTTCCGTTTTAATCGCAACATATTGAATTTTACACTATTCACATGCTCCATTTTGACTACATTTTACGCTATTATTTTATGAAAATTATTTTTTAAAAAATATTGTTCAATTCATCTCATTACAAATATTCAAAATCTGATTTTTAATATTTTTTTTACTAATAAAATTAAGATATAATTACGGTCAAAGACTTGCGTTGGTAAATGTGAAATGTTGACTATTGCAACTAAAAACTAACGGGGAGTATATTGTTGAAAAATCATTCATCATCATATCTTAATTATATGAGTGAGTTTGATAAGTTGAAATTGAATTAGAAACAATCAGCAATTGACATTCTTCTTCAAGCGCCATGCTAGGTTGGATGGATCATTGCAGTCACGGGCTTAGTCCGGAGCAAATGTTAATTAGGGTTGGCCGTGTCGGATAATTTTTTTTAGATAAAATTTTACACATAAAATATAACAGTTTTTTAAATTTGGGGTGGTTTGGGCCGAGCCCGATCAAGCCCACTGCATCCATCCCAGCCTACCTATAGTCACGTATTCAAGATACTTAACTTCTTAAATTTGAGGTAGGCCGGGGAAAACAACTTTTTTTACAAGTTTTTACACAATTGTTTTTACATGTTTAATTGGGGTAGGCAGCATTCAAGTTGTCCTCTAAACTAGGCGTCTCTAAGGGGGCACCTTCCGGGCTCCGGCCACCATTTATAAACGAAAGAGTAAAAGAGAATATAATGTCGACGAGCATACCACGCTTTCGGGTACTCCCGGAGGAGGCAAAGGGAGATCTCTAGGAGGAGTTACATTGAGATATGTTCTCTTGTTAAATCCCCAATCTCCAGGAACCCCAAAAGTCAGCTTTCCCTGAAGGCCATATTTGTTATCATCAACATCATTGTATATATTAATATGGCATTAACATGGTTCAAGAACAAATATATAAAGAAAAATGTTCTTATTAATTACCTTGGTGTAGTCCAACTGATATGTAAAGTGCAAAATGAATGTGTTTCCCATTTTCAGATCCCATGGAGGCTGAAAAATAACATCTTGTCAACAAATCATACTACCAATATAATGGCCATTTTGTAAAGGTTGTTCGGCAAAACTGATCCATAAAATCAAAACCTGAATCATAAAATCTTCCCGGAGAAGATGTCGCACATCGTGCATAGCAGAAGCAATAGCATATGCATACCTAGCTCATCATTGGATGCTTATAGTTTATTAAATGGGACTCCATAATTAAGATCTAATCACAGTATACGAAATAAATTCTTGAGTAGTATATGCTACACTCACATTTCCTGAACCCAGCCAAGAGCTTTATCAGCCTCCTCATCGTATTTGATTCTTAGAGACATATTTAGCCAAGTTGGTGCGATTTTCTTGAGCAAATCCTACACAACAACTCATTTATTACGACGGTAAACAAACATTGTTGTGTGAGGTTGTGTTAGGATGTTTTTAGTTGGACTGATTTCAATCTAGACTAAATTAGAGGCTTTTGACCTATATATTACGTATTACGTAGTACTAAATAGCGGATAATTGACAAAAAATGATCTTTTTTTAAAATTTCCAAAAATGTGACTTTCAAGTATTAGATTTACTAAATTATATCAGGCCCATTGACAAAATATCCACAGTGACACGAGCCACAGTGACACGTCGACTTTGATTACCGTGACACTGTCGTCGGTGGCACTACCACCGTTAGATGCCGACTCCGTTTACAGTGTCACTGCCTCTCCGTTGGTAACCACCACCCCCAACCCTTGTACCACCACCCCCAACTGTTGTACCACCACCATTGCTCCCCTCACACCGCCGTCACTGCCACACCCTCTCACCATCTCATTGCCCCACTCCCCATTCCCACACCACCGCCACTGCCCCACCTCCACACCATTGTCAGTGCTCCACCCTCGCACATATGTCACAGCATCACCATCAGCCCCATCACGACCTTCCCACCTCCCTTTGCCATGACCCATTCACGTCGTCGCCCAACGTTGCCCCACTACCCCGGACCAAATCCTAACCGCCTTCGCCCACCAATTCCGCACCACAAACCCAAATCTAAACCTTTGTTCATCTATTAACCTAGTTACCGCCCATCGCCGAACTGCAACCACTGCCATAGCCTTCAACAATGAGATCCGTTTACCGGCGAGGCGACGAAGAAGAATGGAGAAGAAAAGAATTGCGTGGAGACACGAGAGGCATCGGCTGGGGGAGACATGATCGATGCACAGATAGAAGAAAAGTTTATGCGAAGGAAGTCTGGAATGAGCGTAACTAGAGACCATATCCAAACATAGTACACACTCCCTCCCTTAAAACTTTGTTGACTTTCCTTTTCTGGTTGTCTCACTAAATTTGCTACTCTCTTTTACGTAAATAATTTGTGATCGCGGTTAATTCTCTCTCGTTTGCACAAACTTCTACCACACAATTTTTACTTTATTAATCTACGTGCCATTCTAACTTGTCAAACTTTTAAGGGACGGAAGTAGTAATATACACGTGGAACAAATCATAACCGGACCAAACTTAAATATACTGTTTGAGACAAGAAAATTGAAGTAATCAGTTGAGACTATCAGTGTTTACCTTCCGAATAATTACAGGGGAATTCCCAATTGGATCAATGTCTGTCAATGGACCTTTTTCTTCGGGATAAAACTTTCTTATGATTCTTTCATGTTTGGAAGGTGTAATGTAGAAAAATGGATATCCAACTGGGAGCTCCCCGGAAACTAAATTAGGCAGTGGCCGTGTGAAAATGTGGTCCGGCTCTGCCATCAATATGTAACTGCACACAGCATAGGCAATGATAAGGATTAAAATTTTAATAACCATCATAAAATGAATATAAAATAATAATTCATCGCAATTTATTAACTCAATTCTACAGAATTACTCGATGTAAGCATCTAATTTTTTAAGCTCCATTTGATACTCATTTATATAATTTCGACCCGATTTAGTTTCCCTACATATTTTTCTCTTATAAGTTATAAAGATCATTTTTGGGTATTCAAGTGGGTTTTGAACTCGTTCAATCTAAAGAAGAGCAAGGAACATATTAAAGCATGTTTGTTTTGGTTAGAGTTATTTGTCTTGATTTTTTTAATGCAAAAATATCGTTGAAACTCCGTAATTCCCTATAAGCGATTTGAGACAAACGAGTTTGCTAAAAGCTGCTTAATATGAATATTTAGATTATTTTGAGTTTTTTCCCATGGAGAAGCCTTTTTCAAACTTATTTATCAAACTAGGGTACTTCTAAATTTATTTCCCTAATAAGAGTATTTTTTGCCATGTCATCTCATTATCATTGCACGACGTCACATAAGCTTATCCTCATCATGCCATTAATTCCATGTCATCAATTTTGAGAGTTTAGGCGTGCTTCAAAAATATAGATATTTATTCCATTCCAAAATATAGATGTTTAGGCGCCTCCATGGGAAAAAACTCAGATTATTCTAGATGTTATATTAGACAAATAAATATGTTAAAAGCTGCCGTTTAATTATTAATAAATTAAGTCTAACACACAAAATGTATGTACAAAAAACGCACACACTAATAATTGTTCATAAAAATATTTGGGCTTGACTCACACGCTGACTAGCAAAATGAATGTCTAACTCATCAAAAAGAGTGGTCAATAGATGCGGTTTATATCACATTTGTATATTAAATCTTGATTAAATGGGCTCTTGGAACCTCGATGTATGTAACTTGTTCTTCTGAACTAACATTCCAAGTTTCAGCCTTATCCAATATAAGACCTCTTCCCGTGCAAAGTGCAAAGATATGCATTTTTTCGTGTTTCGCTTGCACTTTTTCATGTTTCTGTTGCACTTTTTCGCGGTGACGAAAAAGTGTTGTTTATTTACAAAATTGCCACCGCGATTTTGGTCGAATTTAATGCATTTTTGGCTAATTTTGAGTCATTAGATGTGAAAATGAATGCATAAGATTCATTCTTACTTTGCATGAGAAGAAATCTTTGTATTTGAACCATCCCCTATATATATATATATATATATATATATATATATATATATATATATAGACACACACACACACACACTACAAAAAAATCACGGGATTGGCAGGGAGTTGGCAGGGATTTTGGCAGGGAAATGCCAAATTCGTGCCAAAAACACCTTGGGATGAGCTATTTGGCACGAAAAAACGATAAGTCCATGTCAATCCCGTAATTTATTTGTAGTGTTATATATATATATATATATATATATATATATATATATATAGAGAGAGAGAGAGAGAGAGAGAGAGAGAGAAATCTTCATGTAAGGAATTTCGGATGGGAACCTCCGTCCAGACGGCGGCGTTTGGCCGCCTTCCCAGTGGAATTTTTTGATGAAATTTTTATGGCATGTTCTTCATCAAGTCTAGTTTATCCACAAAAATATTCAGCTAAAAGCTCAATGCGGAAGGTCACCAATTCATTTATGCAAGTTAACTGCGTTTTATATGTATTTTCCGGCGTAGTTAACTTGCAAAAATGATTTGAAGACTTTCCCGATTGAGTTTTTAGCTGATTTGTTTTGTGGATAAACTAGACTTGATTAAGAACACGCCACAAACATTTCATCAAAAAACAACACCGAGAAGGGTCCCAAAAGCCATCGTCCGGACGGCGGTTCCGGTCAGGAATTCCTGACCGGAAGACTACTATATATATGTGTGCGTGTGCGCGCTCTCATTTTTTGAACTCTCATTATTTTCCCCTGCATTTGGTGTCCAAATTGGTTCTTTTGATCTGTTTTCCCTAGCGTTGTGTTTCTGGATAGTAAGTTTGAGGCTCACAACTTAACTTTGATCTATTTGCAAGCCTTGTTACTGGAATATGTACATTTGTTTTGAAATACGATCTTTCTTTAATAGCAAAAAAATGGATATAGGTACAATGAGCATTTCATGTGGTACACTTAAACACTAATGATACCAAGGCCTAGCAATGTTTGTTGTAGTTGATGAGTAACATTGGATTTTAGCTCTAACAACAAAATTGCATGAAGAATGGTAAAAATAGGATGGTACATTACTCTTCATCAATAGTAGCAACCTCGATCCATTGCATAAACGCCCATGGTCTATTAAGAACCACATAATTCTGAAGCAGACATAAAACAAGGATTATTCATGTCACTAATATGTCACTAATTAGTCTAGTACGATGGGACAATGGGTGATTGAAGTAAAAAATATCATTACCTTATCCCATCCGTTTGGAAGGGGGTAGACAACAACGGTAGGGATTTCATCCATCAGATTATCGGGAGCACCAGAATGAAGAATTCGGGTAAACTTCCCCATATCCGACCCGGGTAAGTCTTTTTGTTTCTTGTACCAATAGTACATGACCCGCATCTGCCATTTGCAGTACGTGGTACTATCAGCTGTGACCGCAATGTGGAATTTAGAATTCCTAGTTTTAAGGTTATTCGACTTGTCGTGTCTTTTGAGGTGGGAGGTCATCACAATCGAATTGTAGGTTGTGATGAACAATCCAAGTGAAAGGAGCAGAAGAAATAAGGTTGTTGCCTGTCGCCGCCCCATGCAATGAAAATCAACATAAACGCCAATCTGAAAAGAAGAGTGCATTGATCGAGAAGATTTGGAGAGGCGGGAAAGGAATGCAAATGACATAAAATTTTAGAGTATACTATTAAGAGGATAAATAAATGTCGTTTTTTTTAAAACAGGGATTATTGGAGAACCATTGTATTCTCTCAATTTGAATTTGGTGAAGAATATGTAAGCTCTCTGTTTATACATTCTAAATCCTTAAAAGTCTCGATTTTTCTTTAAATTTACATATTTTCATTTAAGTTGATATTTTATAGTCTCATTTTGGGAGGATTTTGGATGTTCTTAATTTGATTTGTTTCAATAACACATCAAATCTGACTAAACCAATCTTAAACAAACAAAATAAAATCAGACTAAAAAATGCAACCCATGATACAAATTTTAGTCCAATTAAAAAACATTATTAGTATCAAACGGTTCTATTAAATTTTTAGAAATTACCCTAAATAGGAGTAAAAACGTTTTAAATTATTAGTCCAAATTTTTAGTCCAAATTTTAGTCCAATTAAAAAACATTATTAGTATCAAATGGTTCTATTAAATTTTTAGAAATTACCCTAAATAGGAGTAAAAACGTTTTAAAATTCCAAATAAGGAGTATCATGTTTTTTATTTCTTGAATATGAGTAATCTGTCAAGTTTGAAAAAAAAGTCATATTTAAAAGACTAGTAATGCCAAACTTGACAGAAATTTACTCTTATTTAGAGAATAAAAAAATGATAGTCCTATTTTGGAATTTCAAAATCTTTTTACTCCTATTTAGGGAATTTACTCTTAAATATTCTATGCGAGTACCATATCATTTCTGGTATTATGGATTGTTGCAGATCGTACTCAACCTTAAGTTTAACAAATTTGCGGAGTTGTAATTGTTTCATAAACATATTTTTTTGTTTTTTTGTTTCTAAAAAAGGTCAAAAGTGATGTTTTTAAATACGAAGTATGTATTTTAGCGTAAATATTAGCCCATTCAGAAATTGTTCAATTGTATCGAATTTGTTATATATGGATCGGTCTAAGCTGATATGTTGAGTCAATGCACCAAACCCGTTATGATATATACATTCACCTTATTAGCGCCTTGTAATTTAAAACATGTGTCGTACCTTGTTTGTGTTATAATTATATTATACTCACGCCCCCTCCCCCTACCTCTCTACCTCTCTCAAGAACAAATTTTACAAATTTGAAATCATTTATCTTAATAATATGATTAAATGTGCAAGTAACGTTGTTAAGATGTCTAAGGATGTTTTTACTTGGACTGTAATTCCTTCCAGACCAGACCAGTTCGGACCAGACCAGACCAGCAAATTATAGTCCAAGTAAACACATCCTAAATTATACTCTGAATATTAATCATTTTTCATTTATTTGACAATTAAATATGTTCATAGAAGGGATTTTGCGCGTGAATAACTATAACACAAGGGAGTTGACACATTTTCTAAATCACATAGAGCTAATACGTCGAATTTCTATTTCACAAAGGGGTTTGATGCATTAAACTCTTAATCTGCTACGGTCGATTCAATTTTGATCTCTTTTATTTAAGTCTTTTCTATTTGGAATTATTTTTCTCTTCTATGTAAAATCTGTTGGAGATTTATTGAAAATAAAGGGTAAAGTATTATTTTGCATGGTCCTTGAACTTTTTTTTATAAAAATGTGGTATATTATTGAAATGGTGTTAAATGTATATTGGTTGTTACTAAAGTTACTTATTTAAGTAATCACTCCTCGGCACTTGTGCTCATTTCTAATATTAAATTTTAATTTTGGAAGTGGCCATTTGGCCCACATACGTATAGTACTTTGGCGCACTACTTGGTGGATTTCAATTTTTGAAAATTAAATTTACAAAAAATCTATTTGTACACGTTCTCTTATACACGTTCTTATATACTTGTCTGTGGTAAATTATTTTTTTGTCTGTGAACGAGATTCACGGACAAAACTTGCGTGTTTTACTGTGGATATTTTTTGTCTGTGACAGACAAAACACGCTGATTCATAGACAAAAAATAACTTGTCACAGACAAATATATAAGAACGTGTACAAATAAAATAGAATGACTTTTAAATTTAACGAGAATGGTTTTAACCCAATGTACACGCCGTTTTGAAAAGCACACCTGTTTATTTTCATTATGACCTTATCGTCATTGTGGCGATCAAAAGTTGGTTTTGAAATGAAAGGATCAAGTTGAATTGAGGACGACCGAAAAATCATTTTTGTCATTCTTCTCGAATCGTCTTACTCTATTACTCTCATCGGTAGTATTCGTAATAAAGTGTTCAGACCACTTTTTATATACAAATCACTTGTTAAGTGTTATTTTATTAGTAACTAAAATACACTTGTACATCTTCTTTTTATCTCAAAAGTTCTATCTTGTAACCCGGTTACTGTAATAAGGGTAGATAGTAAATTTTTAGAAAAAACGTATTTATACGTGACTAGAAATGAATCAAGTGATATCCGGTCTAGCCATATTTATACACCCTTATATTATTCTATATACTTTTATCCGCCAAGTTCTAACAAAATCTTACTTCGTATAATGCAAGACTAGGTAGGTCTTGTTTGATTACTTACGAATTAAAATGATTACATTATGTATGGATTTAATTTAAGAACATTTTGATATCATTTGATATGTATCCAGTATCTTATTTTTACCCTATACTACGTGTCTTACAGAGTTACTTATCCAACCTACGAGAATTATTATGTGATTTTTCTTCTTTTTTCTCTATAATACGGAGTACATAATAGTTGTAAGTAAATAACTTACATATTATGAGTAACATATAATTATTACTCGTATCATCATCATCATCATCATCGTCGTCGTCGTCATCGTCATCGTCATCGTCATCGTCATCGTCATCGTCATCGTCATCGTCATCGTCATCGTCATCGTCATCGTCATCGTCATCGTTATTGTTATTGTTATTGTTATTATTGTTGTTGTTGTTGTTGTTGTTGTTGTTGTTATTATTATATAAAAACAACGGGTATTTGCCCTTAGTAGGAGTAAAATAAGCCCAAAATTCAAAAATAGGAGTACAATTCTTTTATTCCTAAAATAGGAGTAATATATGTCTCTTCTTCCCATTCTACCCCTTCCTATCATTTCCAATAGATTTATTTTATTAATAAGAAAATCATAGTTTTATTTATAATAAAAATAAAAAAATAAAATATTTATAAAATAATAAGGAAAACGTGAAAAAATAAAATAAAAATAAAAAAATTAAAAATAATTAAAAAATTATTTTTTTTAAAGTCCAAAAAAACCTAAAAAATATTTAAAAAATATGTAGGTCACTGCCAACGCGTTCTCTACCTCCCAGCACCACCGACTCCGGTCGCCGAAAAAAATTGTCATCTTGTGTAAAAAATATTACATTTCTCTGAAAATGTCATAAAGATGACATTTTTACTCTTTGAAAATATCCAGTTTTATCTTGCTTTCTCTTCAAAATTGTCATCATGATGACATTTTTTTTCTAACTTGGCAATCTTTTCCGGCGACCGGAGGTGGCGGTGCTGGAAGGTGGCTGAGGTGGTGGTTGGGGTCTATATATTTTTTAATTATTTTTTACTATTTTTATTTTTTTATTTTGAGTTTTTATATATTTTATAATGATTATTTAAAAATCTTATTATCAAGGACAAATGTAGGGGTGGAATATGAAGAGTTAGTCGTGTTTTGAGAATTTAAACTCTAAACTCCTATTGTTGCAATTATCCTTTTATTTATTCCTATTTAGGTAAATCTCCATGAAAACATGTAGTGATTTGACTATGATGGATAGTCTACCCGGGGGTATGTATCCGAAGGGTTATTACGGGGAATAACTTAGAGAGAAGTCAGAGCAAGTAAGTAAAAGTAGAGAGAGAGTGTATTCAGTATGAATGCCGTTTTCAGCGTGTTTACAAATGAGGAAATGGGGTGCTATTTATAGTAGCAATAAATGCCGGGCAGGGACACGTGTCAAGTGCTCATTGGTCGAGGGGTCACCTCAACTGGTTGGCGCTGGCAGCCGCATGTGGCCGCATTTAATGCGGCTGTGGGATGGGACGTCTATGCGGGGTACGGTGATCTGTACGCATGTGAGGCGGATATCTTGTCGAGTGAGATGCCTTCGGCTATAGAGCAGTAGCCGAGGGCTCTTCCACCCGATGGCACCCTGGTGCCGAGGGCTCATGGTGCCGAGGGCTACTGTTTTCGCCGTTTTCTCCCAGTTTCTTAATTTGCTTGAGAAACCCGTTCTGTGAGAATTTAGAGCCTTCGGCCAGGGGGCCGAAGGCACCCCTGGCGCGTAGTGCGGGCTGCTTGGTACTCTGGGCGCTGTGATTTGGGCCTATTGGGCCTTTTGGGCCTGTTGGGCCTTTGCTGGAGTAGTAGGAGTCTGTGGGTCGGGGGTTCTCGGGCCATATACTCCATCAGGAGTCCCTCACTCCTTTTGCCGAAAGGTACTTGAGGGAAAAGGAGTAATTTGTGCTTGCCCTTTGATGTTGTCCTCTCGTGATCTCTGAAGTTGGTGAGGAGTCGTTGCTTTTATGTCCCTGCCGAAGGCAGTCCCTCAGTTACCCACATGTCGGGACTTGAGGGCCTGCTTTGTTGTTTGTTGGAATTTCACCAAATTTTGTAATTTAATGATTTTCCCGAGGGGGTCCTCCAGTCCCCCACTCCTTGAGGCACTTGTAAAGTGGTGAAAAGGAGTAAAGTAGTTACGTTGCCGTTGTGGGCCGAAGGCTGACGCTTTTCGTTTCATTTTGGGGGGATGCCTCGTTAAAAACCTCATTAGGAAAAACCCTTTGGGAAAAAATCCTAATGAGGGAAAAAGAGTGCACCGAATTCCCCCAATGATGAATCGAAAATGTCAAACCTTGGTATAAAGTGGGGAATGACGGGAATGCCGAAGGCTCTCTCTTCTGAGGGCTCCTGTGTTGATTAGCCGAAGGCTTGCTGTTGATGTC